TGCTGAAAATCCCTTAATACAGTCAGTGCTTCTTCTCCTAATTCTTCCTGAATTTGTAATAGATATTTTCCCAAACACTAAGAAAACAAAATAAAAATACCTTGGACAAATAAAGACTGAGAATACACTAAAGAAACTCAAGGGGAAAAACAGGCACCCTGGACATTTCTCTCAGACTTTGCCCAAGGATGTACGTTACAGAGTTAATGAGGAATTTTATCTACACTGATTTATACAATGTGAAATACTTTCACCTGCCCTACAGCCATGGTACACGAAACTTTAGAAGAGCCAAAATAGACTTAAGTTGCAGAGCTTATTTCACAGCGTTAACAAGCCAAGCAGAATTCCCTTACCTTCACCATTATGGGTAATCTGTGATGACTTGTTTATGCACAGAAGAACTGCTTAATTCAGCCTTCTTGCACTATTCAGTGTATAGTCCTACCATGGGCATAACTGCCACCGATTTTACTAAGACACAGTATAAAACGTATCCCTTGAGATATAACCTGGTGTGGAACAATTTTTATCGTTTAATTTCCATATCTGCTTTTAGACATGACAAATCCTCATTTCTGTAGCGTTATCTATCCAAAGGACAGCACAAGATTTTACAACAGAAATGCTTGTAGAGGGTCGTTCAGTGAATATGAGATCCTTTCCCACTGCGGAAAACACAAGTGAGAGCACAGATTCATATTATCACCCACAGCACTGCCATGAGACTTCACGTTTAGCAGTGGGATATTCTTTCTGTTCATTCATGACAGAATGTGCCAAGCATGCACAGAGACAAGAACAGGGAAAATAATGCATATATCACAGATACAGCCATCAAAAGATTTACATTTTTCTGGTTGAATAAGGATTTTTCATGATCAGATCTCTCTCTCTAATACTTCAACTAGCAGGAATTTGGGATTCTGTTGACTTAAACTCAACCTATTGTGACCAGCTCAGCTGTATTTTTACCTCTCAAACTCCGTGTCCTCATAAGGAGTGTTTCATAACCAACTGGTGCTGCAAAGCTAACTGCATACCTATAAGTCTTTTTCCTTCCTCCTCCAGGACCATGAGGAAGCTGATCATCCCAGAAGTGGGATGGTCTGAAGACCCCATGAAAATTACCTTTCTGGTGCCTAGAGACAGTCCACCTACAGTAGTAGTAGATGAGGCAGAGCTGCACATTCAGAGAGGGTGAGTAACTGGGGCAGCTGTCTTGCAGCCTGTCAACCCTAAAGGGCCGGAGGGGTCTCTGAAGCCCCCTCGTCACAGTGGTCCTCCCCCACAGCACCACCCCAGGAGTGCAGCGTGCTGGCGCCCATGTTGGGCTGGGGAGGATGGTGGTGTGGTACTGAGATGAGGTCATGGGTGACAGGGATCTTTTGTTTAACATTTTGATAGATAGGTGACTAAATATTTTGATTGCCTGTGGATCCCAAATGGTTTCTTTACCTCTTGTCAGATAAAAGACGAACACACCAGAGCAGAGACTGGCTGGCCATGCAACCCACCCGCCTGCCAGTAAGAACAATCATTCTTGCTCATGTCAAGATGACTTCGTGTATTTGACCTTAAAAACAGTATAAACTCACTATCTGACTGTGCGAAGCAGGAAAAACTACTTCGATCTTGAGATGAAATAAACCACAAACTGACTTCTTAACTGAATCCATTACACGAAAAACATGACTATTTCATACCCCTAGCCCAACTGCTGCCGTAGCTGGGTAGTTGCTATGAATTATCTTCTCTGGTTTTCACATCTCAGAATCACTGAACAGCAACACTGCTACCTTTCAACTGCTTGCCAATGACATACTCAAATTATGAAAAACTATTCCTAGGCTTTGATTGTTAATGAAGCAAGAAGGCTGGGCATAAGGAAAGGGAGGGACATGCACAGCTTTAGAAGCAAACTTTCCTACCTAATTGCAAGAATTCAAAGGGCTTTCTTTGAGAAGCTCTGGACCAGGGGCACAAACGATACTCTGATCATTTATTTTACAGCGCTGCATTTCTAAAGCACCTGCTGGAAACCTAAGCCAGTTGTTCAGGTCAGCAAAGACTGTCTTCCAATTTACAACACTACAGGACAGCTCACATTGCTGCAGTCAACATCCTCGCTGAGACGGCACCATCAGGGTTCCTGCTAAAACTGTGGCTACAAAACGTGCTTGGCTCAGTTACACAACAAATCTAGCTGCAGGACAGGAAATGTTAGTGACTGGGACATTTCCTTTGATCTTTAGCCTACCTATTCCTTGCCACCAAGCTATTTTCTGTTATAATTTCAAAAATCTACAACTCTCTAGGGAGAATTTATAGCCACTGCTTTGTAGCTCCCCATTTCTTAAATGCATTAAAAAGGTACTGCAGCTTCAACAACTGAGCACATTCTTCCAATAAAGCTTGAGCAATGGGCATACTAACAGAGGTGTGTGCATGTCCCACTGCAGCACAGACTTACAACTCACTGTGGATTACCATGTCAGTCCATCGGTCTCTTGCTTCTTAATTTACTGAGCAGCTGCTTTTGTTTCTCCTCTTTATCCCATGGTTGAGAAGACTCAAAACCTCACAAAAGACTGCAATTGCCAACTACGGTCAGCATCTCTAGCGGTGCACTGTATACACTTGCAGGTTCCACGACATACCTGAGGCTGCTGGCAAGAAATTTAAGCCTTCCCATCCCTCTTCTGAGAGAACTCTGCATTTTATAAACCTGTTTATTTTAAGAGAATGAGCTCATTATTATTGGCTCCCTGAATAGGCAAAGTAAATCCACCATTTATGCAATTCTTTAGCAACTCAGCTGCAGCTCCGGACATTGCAATCTGTTGCACTGAGAGCAGCCTGCCCAGAATTATCACTGCGACATTTCTTTGCAAGTGCCATGGAAAGTTCCTGCAACACATGCGCACAACAGCAGGAGAAACATTTCATCTAGGAAGGCAGTATCTCCTAGCCACGCTGGGTACTGCTCCCCCGCTAGGACTCAGAGTCCCAGCCCTCTACCCTCTTCTTAAGATAGCACTCCTTTAGGGAGCCGCATTGCCAAAAAACAAACAAACAAACAAACAATCTCCCCAAGTCATCTGTTAAATCATTACACAAGGTAGCACCCTGCTTTTAAAAACAGCAAAAAAAGTGGGAAAAATATGTCCCTGGCACAGCATGCTGCTGAGGAGCGCTGGCTAGATCGATGCTGCCCTGCGAGGATGGATTCATTTGGCTATCTCTGTCTTAACACGGAGGCTGGCATAATAACCTGCTTATGTAATGACGGGGCTCTACTGGTAGCATCGGTGTGCCTTTCAAATGTCAAAACAGCCACACAGTGCTTCTCCTCCCTCTTTTTCTGCTGTAGGAGTAAATTTGACAATTTAAATGGACACATTTGACACATTAAATAGTTGTAGCTCTGGAAAGCTAATGGAGAGAGACACACTGCCTCCTTCTGAACGTGGCAAGCTCCGTGGCCGTGTGCATCCCTGCAAGCAGTACACACGCCTCGATCAGCAAGCCGCTGCAACGCGCTCTTGTTCCCTCTGGTGAGCTCCTGAGAATCCTCCTTTTCATCACTCTTTGGACCTGCAGCTGTTGCAGGATGTCATGGCTGGGGAAAAAGAAGTCACCTCTCGCTAGCAGTGTGGGCCAACTTCAAAACAAAGACCTTGCGCTAGACTCCGTGTTTATCAGAAGACTCATCAGAAGGTGCAACACAGGAGCCACAAGCTCACAGCAACCTGAATTACAGTGTCTTTAAGGCATATTCCTTGTTCTTATCCAGGGATGAACGGCACACCCAGTTAATTTTTTTTTTTTTTTTGGATAATAACCAAATGAAAAACATCCATTTTGGTAAGATCTTCTATGACCTTTTGTCCTCCTATATTTGTGGGCTGGAGATGGTGGATTTGCTCTCCAATAAATGAACAATTCTCTTAAAAGTTTTGTAAAAGTAGAGCTGGTCTGCTGCTATGCATCTTCCAAAATGTTGCTCCCCCAGACACCGAACTAAGGCACCATCTTTAGAAAAAGGTCTATCCCTTTTGTGTTTAGTGCACCTGAACCACATCTCTTCTGCGGTGGGAAGAACAACACACTGTGCCTGAGGGCTATACGAGCTATGCTAAGTGTGTTCTCTACGCCTAAGTTATAATGAGAGTTACACTTCAAAAATAGCTGGTTCCCATTCCTTGATATAAAGGAGA